AGTAATTTAGAATGTCATTCTGAAACTTAATTGGCGTAAAATGAACGGATAACTGTATAAATAAAACAAAAAAATCAAGTCATAAACAGTGTGATTGTAAATAATGATAGATAAATTAGGTGATAATATAACCAAATTCTCTTGTAAGATTTTTGACTATACATAAACCGGCGCTTGTATTCGACTGACGACGTGCAAATTTAATAGAAATCATAAATAACCTAGCAGGTCAGAATATTTTATAACTCAATGAATCAATATATTTCATGGATTATGTTGCATACTTTTAATCATAGTCTTCCTTCTATCTCTTCCTTGCCTAGGAATTTTATTATAAAGTATCTTTTCATTTTTGAGGTGTTGTGCAGTGAATGTGTCAGCTGAGGCAGGCAACAATAAATTTAATTCGAATGTATTTTCCAATAATCATCCATCTTGTGTAATTAAAAGCCTTGAATTCGAAATTCAGCCTCAAACTGAAATTGCAAAACAGAATTAAACTGTAAATTCCACATATTTACAATTTATTCGTAACGAAGATTATTCAAATTTAACTTGTAACCATCGTAAAGATTTACAGTATTCTTTTCATAGCACACATTGTTTATTTCAAGCAACGATTGTGTCATCGTCTGTTTACACCTTGTATTGTAGCGCTGTTGTACAGAGCAAATGTACACGTAAGCATTTAACATCGTACGCCCAAAATAAAATTGTGTCACAAACTCTACGTTTTCTTAGCCCCGTTAAAACTTTTCGTTTTCTCTAATAAAGTAAAGGAATAAATAGAAAATTCTTTCTCTTCCAAGCAGTCAATGGCCATCACAAGTTCAGTGTAAAGTTTACGACTGTGATATGGTTTATCGAGCGCTGACGCTGCCGTGCAAAAGCGTTCCTGGGCTTTGATTGCACAATCGCTCAAGCTACCATTCTAGTCAGCAAAGCTGGAAAGTTTGTTGCTGGTTATGGAAGATTAAATTAATTTCCATAATAATTTTTTTTTGTCTTAAAAAAAATTAGACCGAATTGCGCGGCTAATAGTGTGCATTACTTAAGTATCCTTCCTGATTGGATTTCTCCAGCCAAACTTACAACGAACTTTCCCACATTATCATAGACTGCAATTATTTGACTCAGTATTGATTTTTTTACTTAGATATTGATTTGATGGCAGCAGTAAATAGTACATATAAATTGTTTGCCTAGGTTGTCATTGATATCACATAATTTTTGTGGTACCTCGCTACCGCCTAGCTGCTTACGAACAAAGGATGGGATACTGATAAAATTGAACACAATAAGCAGACCTGGTTACGAATAGAGAAGGGGTACTCCACAAATCACACACCGTAAGCAAATTAACCTAGATATCCTCGGGATAGATCGATGAGCCGTCCCAAGAATCCATGCAATATTCCATTCAAGATTCAGCGCAATCCCGCAAAATTCATTCTAGCAGATTAGCCTGCCGGTGTTCGGTAGGATGTGTGTTTAGGCAGCAGGATAACAAAGCTTCGAACGAAATATTTGATTCATATTTAAATAGAACGTATTGATTTATTTAATTTCTTTTCTGATGACATCTATAGATGCTCAAATCACGGACCATGTTGACATCCCAATGCGACATGTATTTTGGACACGCATTCCAGTCTATTATACATTATACTTAAGGGTATTTATTTGTGAGGGACCTGAGAGGGGTTTACAAGGGATTTGAAATTTAAATTTTAGTGATGAAATCAAGTGGGATCACAACGCCGGCGAAAGATCCGTTGAAACAAAAATTATACTTTTTAGTTTGATTCAAGTGTGCGAACTGAAATATTGACATTTCATCGTAATTGGGACTTTCCAAATATCGGAACAGAAGTTTAATGGAAATTATGCTCGTGTATTTAAAAATAGATCAGTCTCTGTTTTTTAACCATTACTTTAGCTTTAAATTAGCAATAGGATTGTAAATTAGATATTTCGGTATTCACAAATCCCGTGTAATTCCTGGTTGAGCTTCAAGTTACTCGTACACATAACTTGAAATTTCAAAACTTGACAGATTGTTAACTGATCAGTCAACTTAAAAAAGTTGTACCAATGTCAGGCTACAATCTAAATTCCCCCAAGACTTCATCAACGAGTTTTACATCCTCCATGCCTCGTGAAGGTCACGTGGTCTGACATTTATAGCACTGCTTGACCTCGCAGGCCATGGCCTACCCTTCTATTCACGGGAAGTAATAGCACTAAATGACCTCGCAGGCCACGACCTACCTCTTATANACCTCGCAGTCCACGACCTACCCTTCTATTCACGGGAAGTAATAGCACTAAATGACCTCGCAGTCCACGACCTACCCTTCTATTCACGGGAAGTAATAGCAATAAATGACCTCGCAGGCCATGGCATACCCGCCTATTCACTGTAATATAATATCTTGGAAAACTCGGTACAAAATTAAGCCCAGCGCCGACGGCTCAATTAACGCCATGCAGCCCTCATAGCCTCGGCTATTCATCAGTGATCCACACGTCAGTGAGAGCTCCATCAGACGAGGTGCTGAGGGAGGGCCTTGCAGGCACCAGGTCCTACACTTTCAAAACTCGCTAAGTGAACGTAAGTACTTACGCTCTATTTCCTTGTCTATGATTGGTGGATATTGCTTGAGAGACCGTCAATGATTGGCTGATGAACTTACGATCTCTTAACTTTTTTCGAAAGTGTGGGCCCAGGTCATATACATTCAAAAAAAGTTAAGAGATCGTAAGTTCATCAGCCAATCATTGACAGCCTTTCAAGCAAAATCCACCAATCATCGACAAGAAAATAGTGCGTAAGTACTTACGTTCACTTGGCGAATTTTGAAAGTATGACCCCTGGAGGTCTTGGTGTTGGAACACAACAGGCTTGGTGTGGTCGTCAAACTTTACTTTAATTTTGCTTCGTCAGTTCTGAATGACTGGCGTCACCATGCATATTAAACTAGCAGGATATCTGGGCTACCGTCATCAGCCAGCACTGAACCTAGTCTAGCCGCGCTGTAAACAAAGAAGCGGTGCTCATGGAAAACGAATAAAGTTTTATCGCCTATTTTATTTATCATATTTTTAATTACTCGACAAGTCATGGACGAAATTTTTTTTAACGTCACGAAAAAATTTATTGAGTATGGATTTTTCTAAAGTCGACGGAAATATAAAACGAATAAACGCGTAAACTTACTAACAAAAGAATCGTTGGAAAAACAATATTTCTACTGAAATTGATGTGAAAATGCTACAAATTAATCAGCAACGGATATTTGGGCAACTATGACGACTGTATAGGCAACAATGAATGAAAATGATGAAAATGAAACAGGAGGAACCTATAGTAGTCTTTATTTACAGGTGCAAGAAGATGAAGCAGCTGTTAACGAGAGCAGCTGATCTGCAGCAGCTGCTTCAGCTGATCTGCAGCAGTTGCTTCAGCTGATCTGCAGCAGCTGCTTCAGCTGATCTGCAGCAGTTGCTTCAGCTGATCTGCAGCAGTTGCTTCAGCTGATCTGCAGCAGTTGCTTCAGCTGATCTGCAGCAGNATAAGAACAGTAGTAACGGTCACATATTAAGTAACAGTAGTAACGGTCACATATATAAGTGACAGTAGTAACGGTCACATATATAAGTAACAGTAGTAACGGTCGCATATTAAGTAACATTAGTAACGGTCACATATATAAGAACAGTAGTAACGGTCACATATATAAGTGACAGTAGTAACGGTCACATATATAAGTGACAGTAGTAACGGTCACATATATAAGTGACAGTAGTAACGGCGGTCACATATATAAGTAACAGTAGTAACGGTCGCATATATAAGCAACAATAGTAACGGTGGCGTGTAAAAGCAACAATAGTAACGGTCGCATATATAAGTGACAGTAGTAACGGTCACATATATAAGCAACAATAGTAACGGTCACATATATAAGTGACAGTAGATACGGTCACATATATAAGCAACAATAGTAACGGTCACATATATAAGTGACAGTAGATACGGTCACATATATAAGCAACAATAGTAACGGTCACATATATAAGCAACAATAGTAACGGTTATATATATAAGTGACAGTAGTAACGGTCACATATATAAGTGACAGTAGTAACGGTCACATATGTAAGAACGCTACAGGTGATGCGTAGTTCGTAACTGCACGCGTGTGCGTGCGCCTGTAGGCCAGCCTTTATTGTCACGTCATGCGCAGCCTTCACGGCAAGGCGCAGTCTTTGCTTCATGCGCTTCTTCTACACGCGCATTATGCGCCTGCGTGTCGTGACGATGATGTATGTAATGGTGTGATGTTATTAGGAGAATAAGGATGGTGATGATATTAGGAGAATAAGGTAATGGTGTGGTGATATTAGGTAATGTAATGGTGTGGTGGATGTAATAAGGTAATGGTGTGGTGGATGTAATAAGGTAATGGTGTGGTGGATGTATGTAATGGTGTGGTGATATTAGGAGAATAAGGGTGGTGATGTTATAGAGCTGTGACTGTGATGCAGCGAGACGAGCGGTTATAGCGATTTGTAACTTGAGGGTGATAATGATTTTGATATCAGGACTCACGAGATGATGTTAAATTCTATATCGTAATGAGATGTTACTGTTGATATCAAATGACGATATAAATCTTCAGTGTGATGGTGTTGAATGTGGGTGGTGTTGAATGTTGATATCAATGGGCGATAAGAACGTTGATATTAGAAAGGGTTGATATTAAGAGATGACATTAATGAGAAATCAGGAGGAAATGTTGATATTCATATCAGAATGAAAGTGAATATTGATTTTGATGATGAACTTGTGGGTTGATATTGAAGCTGACATTTCTACAAAGTTTCTTGTAACAATGATGACATTAACACAAAAAATTAATAATGATATATATTTCGAAGTTTAGATACAATAATTATATCGAATAAAATTTCCACATAACGAAGTAAATAAAACATAATTGAAAGAACTTTATTGGATGCAAATTTTGGCAGCAAGTCGCCTGTTATCACTGCCAACTTCAAGGAAAATAACATAAGATGACACTTCATTTTACTAAGTTGAATGACGATAATGGAAATTCTTTCGCATTTGGATGTCGTTAAATTCTTCGTTGAGACACTCCCTTCAGATTGATTTACGACAACTTTTAATTAGTCAGTGAGAGGCACGTGACAACCGTGACGGTCAGTGGGCACCCGTGACAAGCACGGTGAAGGTGACCGTGACGACCGTGACGGTCAGTGGGCACCCGTGAGGGGCACGGTGAAGTTGCCCGTGACAACCGTGACGGTCAGTGGGCACCCGTGACAGGCACGGTGAAGGTGCCCGTGACGACCGTGACGGTCAGTGAGCACCCGTGACGGGCACGGTGAAGGTGCCCGTGACAACCGTGACGGTCAGTGAGCACCCGTGACGGGCACGGTGAAGGTACCCGTGACAACCGTGACGGTCAGTGAGCACCCGTGACGGGCACGGTGAAGGTGCCCGTGACAACCGTGACGGCCGCTCCCGTGATGTCAACTCGACCGTCGGTGCGCACCGTGACCTGCAGATCGCCCCCGCGGGGAGAACATTGGCGGCCTGCGGGGGGGGGTTAAAGGTTTATTGTTTACCTGTTAAACTAAATGTGATTTAGCAATGACAGGAGAATTCGTGGATAATAAATGAGTGGCAAGTGCATCGAATAATGTCATAAGCGGCAAAGAATTGAAATAGAGAACTATTATCATAGAGAGGAATAATTTTATAATAGTAGTAATACGATAAAGTTAATAAAAATGAAAGGGTAAAGAAGGTAAATAAGACGGTGGTACAATTACCAAGTTAAGATAACTGTTTTTGCTACTTTGTTGATGTTAAGATAACTGTGAAAATACAACTTAATTATATTTATTTTGCTAGCAGGAAAAAACAGCATGAATTTGGTAGGATGATTATGAAAATTAATTTCTGTCCCACTCACAGTGAAGTTTGTTGATGCCCAACTCCTTGGCCCAGTACGGGCCCAGCACCGTGTGGGCCGAGCCTGCAGAATTTGATTTTATAAGACACTTCTCATCATAACGCGGCGTGCGACTTCCCAGTGAAAATTTACAGACGCGGCAGCTTCTGATTTGGATTACCAGAAGCTGGGCGACTCTAAATTTTGTTAGGGTTAGCGACTTGGTTGAACTTAGAATTAGTGCGGTAAACTTAGAGTTAGTTCTCTAAACTTATTGTGTTAAACTAATAATACAGTGAAGAGTCTTAGAACGTGACTGTTTGTGATTTTCAGCTCGAGAAAAGCCCTTTCGTGTATTCGCAGTCACGCTAGTGGGTCCGGTACTAGAATATATAGGGTGGGGCAGAACCGATTGAGCAGTTTTGAGGCGAAATTAAAGAGTAATGGAGAGACATAAAGAAGAAAGTTCATTTTCCTCGAGGTTAGCATAATATACCATTTAGAATACTTATGTTTTGAAAACAATATCAGGAATACGGTGGCCGTTAGCTGCAACACTCTGTTGCATGGAGTCGTTCTCGGAGGAGGGAGTAACCGTGGCAGTGAATTCCGATCGCTATGCTGCAATGTTGCAAAATTTCTTGCAGCCCAGGATGGAAAATATAGTTGAAAATGAAGCATTGAGAGACGTGTGGTTCCAGCAGGATGGGGCTACAGCTCATACAGCCCGAATGTCACTCAATGTTTTGAAACGCACGTTCCCGGACATCTGGTGTCTCTGAGGGGTGACTTACAGTGGCCTGCGAGGGCACCTGATTTGAGCATTTGCGATTTCTTTCTTTGGGGACATCTAAAAGAAAGGGGTTCAGAAATCGCCCTCACACCATACCACAGCTAAGGGAATGTACGATGTTGACGACTCGTATGTACGCCGTGCTTTTCTATGCACTTTATAGGCGTATCTAATTAGTTATTAATTACCTGAGGTAGGGTCCGGGTGCCGTGATCGAATGAGGATAAATGAGGCGCGAGTTAAGTACATATTGGATACTTATACTTAGTGAGAATATATCGGCTTACAGTTTAGGATAATCAGTTAATAAGTTGGAGCTCTAACACTGATGTCTTCGGCGTCCAGTAGAAGTATGGATAAGTCTAGAGTGTATCTTCTACTCTGACGTTAATTTAGAGTTACTGTCCTGTTTGACATGGACAGGAGCAATGGGGTATATATACCGTAGCGGTCCTCGCCCAAGACTGAGTTTCCTGGTTTGGGCAGAGCTCATATAGCTACGCTAATTGACGTCACCAATACGTGACTTGATAAACAGGAAAGGCTAATACAAGGAAATGCTCATGAACATATCGCATGTGAAGGATCTCATCTTCCAACAAGGAAGACATCAATCAGGAAATGTCAAGGGACAAATGGTATCAACATTGTCATCTTACAGGAACCGATTATTGCAGAGGTTATGGCCATACCTCGCCATACAGTAATGTGTGAACGTGCTGTAGGAAACTTCCAAGAACGACTCCAAGTGTGTTGCAGCTAACGGCCACCATCTTCCTGATTTTTTTTTTCAAAACATAGTATTCTAAATGGTATGTTATGCTAACCTCGTGGAAAATAAACTTTCTTTTTTATGTATCTCCATTAAGGTACTCTTTTATTTCGCCTCAAAACTGCTCAATCGGTTCAGCCACACCCTGTATATACTTAAGTAGCGAACTCAGCTACTCAGCTGAGCTAATCTACCTTGAAACTACAGCTGAGCCAAGCTACAGCTTAACATTTGAACCGCAGCTGATTTAAGCTGCCGTTAAACCTTTAAACCGCAGCTGATTTAAGCTGCCGTTAAACCTTTAAACCGCCGCTGATTTAAGCTGCCGTTAAACCTCTAAACCGCAGCTAGTTTAAGCTGCCGTTAAACCTTTAAACGGCAGCTAGTTTAAGCTGCCGTTAAACCTTTAACCCGCCGCTGATTTAAGCTGCCGTTAAACCTTTAACCCGCCGCTGATTTAAGCTGCCGTTAAACCTTTAACCCGCCGCTGATTTAAGCTGCCGTTAAACCTTTCAACCCTGGTCGAAGAAGTTACCACGTAATGACATAGGCGTAGAACGTTGATTACGCTAATTTACAAAGCTGATACTCATAGATTTAATAAATCAAAACGCATAACGTACTTTATTGAGAAATACAGCACGGCAATCAAATGATGCGAAAAGAATACAAAGGCAAATGCCTTTGTATTCTGTCTATAGTTACTCGTCTCACCAGTCGCAGCGTCAGTTATAGTACAGTGATCCAACAAGTCTCAGTCTCACCAGTCACATGACGCTACACTACAAGTCTCAGTCTCACCAGTCACATGACGCTACACTACAAGTCTCAGTCTCACCAGTCACATGACGCTACACTACAAGTCTCAGTCTCACCAGTCACATGACGCTACACTACAAGTCTCAGTCTCACCAGTCACATGACGCTACACTACAAGTCTCAGTCTCACCAGTCANAGAAACAGGCCCATGGCCTGTTGCCTATTCTTGTACTTTTCGTGACTTGATTCCACAAGGGATCCGGCTTTTTGAACCCGATCTTTCCATAACTAACGATTGATTGAGATAGCTGCTGGACTTATTGCCTGCTGGTCCGTAATTTGCTAGGCATTTTAAGACTGAACATATGCTCCTGCATAGCTTCGTCTAGTCTTATTGCCTGGTCCGTAATTTGCTAGGCATTTTAAGACTGAACATATGCTCCTGCATAGCTTCGTCTAGTCTGTTCTTGAAGGCGTTCATACTCGGAGCGTCAACGATGCTATCAGGGAGGCTGTTCCACATGTCGGTGACTCGAAGCGAGAAGAAATGTTGTCGCAAGGATCCTCGGGACACAATCCTCGATTGTTTACGAATCGAAAACGTCTGAAGAATTTTAGCAGAGTACGAATTACGTTGAAAACTTCATTGTTTCATTTGTTTACCCAACGCTGACACCGGCAGATTCTTTAATGGAAGCTGTAGCGGCCACGATGAAGCACTGCATGAGAATATGCTTGCCGTAATGTCACGCATGTAACTAAACGGCAGTGACACGTGGCGCGCAGTGAACGTGACGGCAGTGACGTGTGTCACGCGTGAATGACGTGGTTGAGTGCGCATGGTGAAGTAACAGGCATGCATGTCATCTCATATGTCGCGCTCGTGGCCTTGGTTACGATGGCAATTATCATGCACTGTGGTTAACTGGGGTGAAATATGACATTTTCAGGACAATTCTTGCATTTAATTCGGTTTAACCTTCTATAAATGATTGCTACAATCACATACTACGTACTGCGAGTACGATTCATTCAATCAATTAAGTAGGTGCTTCTATAGAACAAATCAAAATTTTCCCTTTTTTCACAGGATTTTATTTAAAAATTTTGACGCGCGATGTCTATTTGCTTCATATATTGTATTTTGTCTTGCTTCATATATATTAATATAATATTATAATTTAGCAGTTTCAGCGTTTATTAGGCCGATTCTTAAAATCGCAGAACATTCATTGCATTTTGCGGTCTCGAACTCGCAACTCACTGCCTACACTTCTGCTTTGCTTAACCGCCCGGCCTCCTTGCCGATTCTGACCAGAAACTGGCGCACAGAGCTGGGATCAAACCCGCGCCTCTCTGCGCCAATCTTGGTACTCTGAACTGTAACCCCTGGGCCACCCTGCCCAGTGGTTAAATATATTGTAAGTTTGTCGATTTGTGTGTTTGAAACCTGGTGCAATGAAATATAAGCCCACCAGGCAATGAACCACGTTGAAAAGTTTAATTAATTCAACGAAACAACGTTGAATTCAATGTTGATTCAATAACGCGTCAGGAGTGTTGTGGTGGGAGGGCTGTTCCAGTGCGAATCCAGGAGACTTGTCGAGTCGGGACGTTACCCGGGCCTGGAATTTCAGTCTTAGTGGGAGAATAGCGAAGGATTGGAAGAAAGAACGAATAAAAAATTGAGATTTGATTTTGTAATTGGTAAATATTCATTTAATTTACCAGTGCAAAATAATGTTTTAAAAAAATTTAAATAAGGGTCTAAACGGGGAATCTTATGTTTCCTGTTACGTCTGGGTTCTTCGTAGCTTTCAACTTGCTTCATATATTGTATTGTTCCCATTCTATTATAGAAGACATAACTTTTATTATTATAAAAATATTTGGGATTATGGGTTGACGGGATTTGGGATAACAGGTATCCAATTTCTGGACAGGTATCCAAAATCTTCAAACCTACCTCATGAGACCACATATCAACTCGCTTACCAACCACGAAAATGAATCTATACATTCCTAAATTAGAATAAATTTGTAGGTTACATGAAAATAGATTACCCAATGTCAAACGCAAAAAGGTATAAATCCATGGAAAGTTTGTCAATTGAACATAACTCCATGAACGCATAGCAACAGTAGTAACGGTCACATATATAAGTAACAGTAGTAAAGGTCGCATATATAAGCAACAATAGTAACGGTCGCATACATAAGTAACAGTAGTAACGGTCACATACAGTATATAAGTAACAGTAGTAACGGTCGCATATATAAGGAACAATAGTAACGGTCCGCATATATAAGTAACAGTAGTAACGGTCGCATATATAAGCAACAATAGTAACGGTCGCATATATAAGTAACAGTAGTAACGGTCGCATATATAAGTAACAGTAGTAACTGTCTCTTATACACATCTAGATGTGTATAAGAGACATGCTTCAGCTGATCTGCAGCAGTTGCTTCAGCTGATCTGCAGCAGCTGCTTCAGCTGATCTGCAGCAGCTGCACGTCAAAGATGAGTGTTGCATCTGCAAGTAAAGCGGTGATGCGGGGGTGTGAACCTCAGAAGCCAGTGAAAATCAAGAAGCAACTTATTTCATACAAGATAACAAAGGCGAAATGTACTATTGTGAAGAACTTTAATGGATAAAATTTTTGTTACAAGAAACTGGAATGCCGAAATATTTGATATAAGAAATATAGAAACGTAAAAGTTTTAAATACAAATAAAGCGTCAAAAATGAATTCAAATACATATTATTATAATATTGCTTTTTATTTTATCAGAAGTAGGTAGAATGATAATATACTAAACTACTATTCTATAATATATTTCATGATTAAAAAATTTATACTGATGAAATTATCTGACGAAGCAAGTTGAATTTTACTTAATTCATTTATTTATGAAATAATATCCATATTCCGTGATATAGCTAATTCCGCTAAAAAATATTACGATTTAACATTTGTAAAAAAATTTAATATTTTATTATTTAATATTTAATATTTTTACGAATATTTCTTAACTTACTGGGCGGGATGACACCCCCCGCCCCCCGCTCCCCGTAGGCCAGGTGGGGGGGCACGACCATCCTCCTCCTCTCCCCCACACACATCCCCACCACCCCCTCCTCCCACCCCGGGATCACCTCCCCGCTCCCCAGCCGGAACGTGAACGCTTCGTTGCGGTCCAAACTGAAAATAGGAAATTTATCAAATATTTTTACTAATTAATTTTGTTATATTTTTGATTGACTGAAAGTAGGAAATTTATCAAAAATTTTTACTAATTAATTTTGTTATATTTTTTGATTGACTGAAAATAGGAAATTTCTCATATATTTTCACAATTAATTTTGTAATAATTTTTTGATTGCTAAAAATTTATAAGTAATATAATGTATAAAATATTTTCATAATTGTATTTTGAATGATTACCTTTTTCCCGATCGCTAGTAAATGATAAGTGATTAAATTACGTATCATATACAAAAAAATACGGTCTTCAGCAAAAATTTAAAACTAATGGGTAAATACAAATCACAAAATCCACGCTAAAAATACTGGTAATAAAATCCAGGCCAAGAAATAAGGTAATAGTGAAGAGATCTTGAATCAAAAGTAATTTCATTGTTTAAATTTTACGCTTATACCAAATATATGTGTGCTGTAAATATGTTATTTATTAATGAGTGTTAAAATTGTGATAATATTGGAACCGAAGTTAGAGATTGCGGGTAGGAATAAAGTAGCAGTAGGAACGAATCGAAACCTTGTGAACAGAAGTTAATAGTTGATCATGTATCAAGAAACCTTTGAAAGTTAATTATTATTACGTTCCTTTTGAATGAATTTGAAAGTTAATTCATATTACGTTCCTTTCGAATGAATTTGAAAGTTAATTCATATTACGTTCCTTTCGAATGAATTTGAAAGTTAATTATTATTACGTTCCTTTTAAATGAATTTGAAAGTTAATTCATATTACGTTCCTTTCGAATGAATTTGAAAGTTAATTATTATTACATTCCTTTTGAATGAATTTGAAAGTTAATTCTTATTACGTTCCTTTTTAATGAATTTGAAAGTTAATTCTTATTACGTTCCTTTTGAATGAAAAAGTTTTAAAATGTAATGTGATGCCTTGTGCAATAAAGTTTTCCTTATTGCACGTGATTTTCCAGATCACTAAACCTGCCACTATAACCACGACAATAGAATGTGCATTATACAGTGTTCGATTAATGATATAAATAATTCATATAATATCTCTAATTTTATCAGCATAACAAAGTAATTTGTAATTCTAATATAAGTTGCGTTTACGCCGTACAAATAAAACAGCAACATGTTGATGTTTTGATGCATCGAACCTACAAAATATTGTAATATTATTATTATTAATATTAATGTTGTTATTATTAATATGATAAGCGTGAATCTCGTAAAATGAAGGCATAAAATGTACTACTAAATAAAATATGCGTTTAAAAATTACTTTTTAAAGACAACACTTCTAAAGAGGCCAGTGTCTCCGATGTTACACGTGTACAATGAATTTCTTACTTTATTTATAAATATTGAATTTTTATTTTTCAATGTTAAATAATTTAAATTATTGAATTATTTATTCTGTCCATAGATTCAAGTATCTTCTCCGACTTTACGCAAGTGAGCAAAATTTCATATTGATTGCACAGGTAGAAGTGTGTTAAATATCGATTATAAGATTTGTAGAGGACAAACAAACAAGAAGAAGTGAAGTTAAATAAAAGTGTTGTAAAAATAACAATTAACACAGCCTTATTGCATTACTGACATAATTCCCCTCGGATATCAGCTAATTAAAAGCCTTTTACAGCGTCCTAAATTATATTATTGTTTTTTTTAGTAATTATTTACCATTGGTAACTCCATTGTATCGGACCCCAAGTTTGCAAATTCAAAGTTTGCAGCTTGAAATTTTTGTTTGCAAATTTTTATCTTAACCGCACATCCACACGGGCGAGCTGGGGGGCACATGCTCACCCCGCGTGGGGGGGCACCTGCTCACCCCGCGTGGGGGGGCACCTGCTCACCCCGCGTGGGGGGGCACCTGCTCACCCCGCGTGTGGGGGCACCTGCTCACACCGCGTGGGGGGGCACCTGCTCACCCCGCGTGGGGGAGGCACCTGCTCACCCCGCGTGGGGGGGCACCTGCTCACCCCGCGTGAGGGGACCTGCTCACCCCGCGTGGGGGGCACCTGCTCACCCCGCGTGGGGGGCACCTGATCACCCCGCGTGGGGGCACCTGCTCACCCCGCGTGGGGGAGCAGGTGCGATTATTATTAATTAATTATTATTATTAACCTGGATTATTATTAATAATTAATATATTATTAATTATTAACCTGGAGTCGAACTTGCGGGTGGAGGTGAAGTACCCCGCGTAGTGCACGGTGAGCGTGTCCCCCACGGTGGCGGTGGGGGAGCAGGTGGGGGGGCGCACCAGGGTCTGGGTCTGTAGGGTCTCTGGGGTGGGGGGGGGAGGGGGATGTTCATTCATAACACTATATTATATATAAAATACTATATTATATATAAAATACCATATTATGTATAAAATACTATATTATATATAAAATAATATATTATGTATAAAATAATATATTATATATAAAATACTATATTATATATAAAATAATATATTATGTATAAAATAATATATTATATATAAAATACTATATTATACGTAAAATACTATTTATATATAAAATAATATATTATATATAAAATACCATATTGTATGTAACATACTATATTATATATAAAATACTTTGTCATAAATACTATAGGTATTATATTAAACCTCATTCAAGTTATGCTACAGCCACAATGGACTTTAAATCTACCGAACCATCTATGCAGCCATGCTGCGGCCACTGACTGGCTTCTCTATGGGATACTTCAGTTACAGTAGATACTCCGGTTACTGTAACTCAGACAACAATGAGACACTTCCACTAGGGATACTTCGGTTACTGTAACTCAGACAACAATGAGACACTTCCACTAGGGATACTTCGGTTACTGTAACAAAGATAACAATGAGACACTTACACTAAGGAAGGAACAGTAATACTAACACTGACTAAGGAACAGTAACACTGACAACAATCTTGTATCAACTCACGTGGAAGAACGGAATTCGCATCAACATTTTGCTGCTGCAAGTGCTGAGGAGAATGCTGTGGTTGCTGCAGATGCTGAGGCTGCAGTGTTTGCTGCTGCAGGTTTTGTGTTTGTTGCAGCAATTGGAGCAGTTGCTGTTGCTGCTGCTGTAGCTGCAGTTCAATAGGTTGCTGCAAGGGTTGCTGCAGCTGTTGCGTATCAAAGTCCTGCTTGTTTGTCTGTTGCTGTTGTTGGAACAACTGCTGTTGGAACTGTTGATTTGCTTCGGGAATCTCAACGAGTTCAACATCGAACACGAGCGTCGCTCCTGTAAACCAATTATTTTATAGATACATTCATACAAAATAGCGTTAAAATTATAGCTTTTTCATATTCATTCATCATTTTTTCAATTTCGTACGAGAGAAAGTTAAAAAAAAAACATAATAGAGTGCATGAAACTTACTGCGAATTGGCGATTACTGCTGACATTGTAGTTATATAAATATGTTACCAATGATAATTATTTAAATTAGTTATCACTGATGATAATTATATAAGAATATAACTTGTTAAAATAGGTTTGTTTCACCAGCACTGAATTTAATAATCCAACTCATACTGAATGCTCCTTCACTCTCAATGCCAATTCACACTATTAAGGACTGCACAGTTTCTCAGATAAGGACTGCACAGTTTCTCAGATAATATATTTTATAGTTATTATCGAGCATTAAATATATACTTTATTATGCAAATATTTCATTATTAATGTAAAAATATGTGTATATATTATTGGTGTAATTCGGCAAAAGCTTTTCTTTTATGCAAGTTTGATTGAAGAAAATCAATCAGGATGACAATTGGGTAAATAAATAGGTACATTAAATAAATTAATTACTACATGAATTAATTTAATACATTATTAATTAATTAAATACATTAATAAATACATTGGGTAAATAAATACAAGTTATTATGTATATACATTATTATATATATTTTACGAACAGAATCAGGACATTCCTGTATTCCTCCCCCCGGGTGACTGTCCCCCGGACAGTCACCTGGAAAATAATTCCCCCGGGTGACTGTCCGCTGCTCACCTGGAGGAATGACTCCCCCAGCCCCCCGGTCCCCGTACGCCAGGTGGGGAGGCACCAGCAGCCTGCGTCTCTCCCCAGCACACATCCCCAACAAGCCCTGGTCCCAGCCAGGGATCACTTCCCCAGCCCCCAGCCTGAACTCGAAGGGTTCGCCGCGAGGTAAACTGCAACAGAAGCATTGCTTAGCAATCGACACACACGCGTTATAATTACGCATTAAATATTCAAGACTATTTCGACGTTTACTATTCAAACCACGTTAATGACGCCTTGGTTACTTTACCAGTGCACTCCAACGATATTTTATTGCATTACTATTTCATATTAAAAATGCATTTATTTTAAAAAGCATGAGCAGCTTACAAATACCTTTGTAATGTAATTGTAATGAAACTTTGTAATGTATGTAATTCAAACTTTAGATCAATAATATTCATCATAACCACCTTAACGTCTCGATTACATCACAATAATAGCTTACTAGCGCCTAGGTAACAACACACCAGAAAACTTTTTTATTGCACGTCAATTGAACCTTAATGACTTTTAATGTTAATAAAATCACCTTAGTAACGCCTTTATTGCGTGGTAATCATAACGTAAGGTGAATGCCTTAAAACGCTCTTTTTACATTACGTACAGTAACACAATGACCTAATATCAGAACGCTTGTTAATAACATTTATGTTATTAAAACCACCTTAGTAACGCCATAATTGCCACCTAAAACGCTCTTTTTATTACAACACTTCTCTTTAACTTCACTTCCTGTTTGTTTGTCTGTCTGTCTGCTACAAATCTTATAATCGAAATTTACGTAACACACTTCTACTTATCCTATTAATCTGAAATTTTGCACACTTGCATAAAGTTGGAGACAATGCAAGAATAAAATGACAAAATAAAAGATTTTAATACTTAAAATTTTTTATTTCAATATTAAAAAAATTGAAAAAATACTTTTGTAAGCTACAAATCTTATAACTCATATTTGACACACTTTTACCTGTCCAATTAATCTGAAATTTTGCACACTTGTTTGAAGTCGGAGGCAATGCATGAATCAACTGACAGAATAAATAATTTTGAAAAAAAAATTTATATATTAAAAAAATTGAAAAATTAATTTTTTTTAATATTAGAAAATAAAATAAGAAATACATTGTAAGGTACATCTTTAACATTGGAGACACTGGATTCTTTAGAAGTGTTGTCTTTAAAAAGTAATTTTTAAACGTATATTATTACATTACTTACAGTAACACAATGACCTAATATCAGAGCGCTTGTTATCCTACCAACAATTGTACCGAAGACTATATGAGGCTACAGCAGACCTGGTGTCGAAGATGGTGCCGTTGGTGAGGCTGCCGGTGTAGTGAACCCGCAGCCTGTCACCCGTTGATGAAGTCTTGCTGCAATGACTGGCCCGTTGCAGCACATCCACCCGTAGGCCCTTTACCCCGTGTAACGAGAGGGAGGCTACAATTATAACGGTGGTAACGGCCAGCGAGGAGACGCTGCATGGTGCCGACATCTTCATATGGATGAATTTTGCGGACTTGCGGGACTTTCCGAACATAAATCTGGTGTCAATTGCGTTTGTATATATGGTTGTTAGGTCGGAGAATGGGTTCAATTACGCCCGGTAGTTTCTGTATCAGGTACAGGGTTTAACTAGGTCTCTAGGATGTGAGTTGAAAAAAAAAATCGTTGAGGTTAGTTAATTTACTGTTATTTTTGAAAAAATCTAAAAAAGGCATGGAACTTTATTGGTCATCTTCAATTATTTATCTATTGACTATAGATAAAAAAAATTGCGAAACATGTGAAAAAATATTATAGGTGATTTTTCTGACCTGTGACTTTAGTGCAATTTAATTGGAGTGAACAAAGAAGGCAAGGTCTTTTAACCGTGTCTGTAAAGTTAGTGAAAATTTAATACATGTCAAGGAGTGGCTAAAACCGAGCCACAAGTCCCCAAATAATGATCCTCTTATGAATACCTCGCGCGCTGCCTTTGTGTAGCGCACTTCTGTTACTGTCGTATCGGCTTCTAGACTCAATTTCTTTCCTGTGATTCACCTTGCTTAGCTTTTCAATTATTCCTCGTGATTCTCAGACGTGACGCAGTGAGTTAGTCATGAACCGAATCAGGATGAAAATTGGATGGCTTAACACAATCATCCCCCTGAACACCCCTTCGTCATGAGGCTTCAGAGGCTGGTTAAGCACGCTCAGCTTTCCCTTTCCCGTGCGCTATTTACGCCAGGACACTTCGCACATTATTGCGAAGAAGTTACAAAATTTCACTTCTTCTTTATACGTATATTTACTTGTACTTAAGTATTAATTGTTACTTTTACTTGCATATTCACTTGTTCTAGAACGGTCGGATATGATCGTCAAATATCATCTCTTGAAGATCATCGAACAATAAATGTTTAACTGCACAAAATTTAGCAGCTGCAGGTAACATGACAGCGATTTGTTGGCGAAATTAATTCTTGACAAATATTCTTATCATCACGCAATTGAAGACTTACAATCAATTAAGTGTTTCAGATTTGGCCGTTGATTTTAAGTCTCTTCTTTTTGTCCCTGTGTGAGCTGTCTTCTCACGAAGCGAGAAGTGGAGCCCGCTAACTTCATAGTTTTTATTGCCAGAGTTTAAAGTCATCAATGAATTGCAAAAATATTAAGTGCAAAATTGTTTTGGCGAACGATGTTTCTTAACAAACCGTTAGTGTACACTCCAGTGAGTCTTTATGTAATGGAGCAATGCCGTTAAAATAAAATTCTAATAGATAGGAGAATGGCAGTTCACAGGAATCCATATAAAGAACTGAATAAGCAACATGCGTTTTGCTTTAAGTAAGTAAGGATTCTACCCAAAACATTCATTTGTCCAGTTACCCAGAGGGAAACGAAAGAATCCTACCAAATAAGAAGCCTTTTCTTCGGAGACCGCATCGTTGAGTCTTACTCAAGCACTATTGCAAAAACTGTAACTCAGTACTCACTGCAGTGAGTGACAGAGAGCGCATTTTCTCGTCGAAGAAAACGTGAAGTCACGGACAGACGGACGGACGAACACGACGAGCACAATAGCGCTTTTTTCCATAAATGAGAAAATGCGCTAAAAGGGAAGACAACGTACATAGACTTGGAATGGCGTTCAAATGTCGTACAAATGGTCAATGTTCTGAAGGTAAGACTGTCGCGACTATACCGGTAATATTTTTGTCGATCGAGTTGATCTGAGAAACTCCACATGAAGTGCATATGGTATTCGAAAAAGTGTCTCTTCCTTCATGACAATATCCACAATAAAATTATTTTCGACGTAATAATAAGACTTACTAGTGCCGCGATCATTAAAGTTACTGTAACTTGATATGCTGCAAGTTTTGCGTTATTCTAAAATTCTATGTTGAAAATAATTGTTGGACCAGATTCACTTGAACAATTCGTTGATTTTCACATGGTAGAAGGATGAGTAACAGTTTGAGCTAGTTAATTCCATCGAAGGTATTATCATTAATAAAGCTTGCATCGCAGTAATTCGTTTAGTTGGGCAATTGATAATATAAATTGGCTACGAGCTTGCAATCTTGAAAGTTTCAACGAACATCCTCGCACTACCACCCGCACACGCTGCTCAGCGACTACTGACGTTACGACAGCAGCTCACGGACTAACATTTGCGTGTCGTCTTCTCACGCTCCGTTAGCCGCAGTCTCGACAATATGATCTGATGTGAGATGAAATCGCTTGATTTCTTAGATGCATCATGAACGAAACGATATACATTGCGATTTTAAAACAGTAATTAAATTCCCCAGAGTTGTTATACGAGCGGAGACAAGGTTCTGGTCTTGTAATCAAATGTACGGTCTGAAGATATTACGAATAATTTAATACGTTAAATTATTACTTTCAGGCCTTCAACTCAAACACAATTTGTTTTAGAATAGAATAGATGTGTCGGCACTGAAGAAACAGCCCCATGGCCTGTTGCCTATTCTTG